GCTTGAGGCGCTTTCTAAATGTACTCCAAGCATATGGCAAAAATTTTTGTAAACATTGTGAAAAACTTATTTTGGCAGATTGGGAAAAAAATATGGGAAATCTTTCGTACAAATCTATACCTCCTTTCATTATTTCGCTGGGTGAATCTGATTCAGAATCTGAATGTGAAAATGACGGTGATGATACAGATTTTCATAGCGAAATAATGGAAATGGAATGAATTGTAGCTTGTAGGGGGGTGATATTTTTACGCATCTTTCGTTCTAATTTTACCAAGGAAGTATGTGAAAAACTACCTCACGTACAACAAAATAAGTATAATATTAGTTAGATCATCCGCGTTGTTACTTTTCACCAAATTTTAAGCTTTTTCATTTTTTTTTGTAACTCTTCATGGACCTGGAGAAGGCGTATAGTAACGTTCTTATTAATAAGCGTTTGGAAGTACTTAGCAAAAGCAAATAAAGAGCACTTACGTAAGCACTCGTAATAGGTATATAGATAAATCATTCAATTTAAGGCCGAAAAAATGATTAATAAGAGCTAAACCCATCAAAGCCCTAAAGCAAGGTTCTTGTCTTTTACTAACTCTTTTAGTAATCTTAGAAAAGTGAAAAGAGAAATTGGAAGATATGGAAATTCACAAAGGTCGAAATTTCCATTTCTAAGAAGAGTGGACGAGCAGAGCGACTGATGATTGAGAATTAAAGATGAGATGCTAAATGTGGCATGCGACAATAGTCGTATGTTGAACCCCCATTCATATAAAAACAATGTTTAGATGAAATTTTAGTGTTTGTTCCTTACATATGACATAAACACACAAAAAGCCGAATAACTGTTTTAAATAGCATAAAGTTTTATGCTTTCTAAGAAATGAATACCGTTAACTTGGTCATTGCTACTGAAAACTGAAAGTATCGGCAACAATGTTTATATTTCTGGCATATTTTTTAACCTTTAATTTAATAAAACATAACCTAACGAAAAAAGTTCATAATCTTTATCGGTCAACGTCGAGTATATGTGCACCTGGTACTTGTGATGAGACGTTTTTGGACAAAAAGAGTGCGAACTTTTGTAGCTTTTTGATAAGTATATTGTTGACTAATGCAGAAAGAGCAATAAATACACGATTAAATCAAGCCATGGATTTTTGAAAATTTGTCTTTGATAGGATTTTCGTTTTATCAGATTACCGTCAATTTGAAACTTTAAGTATAAAATACAACTATCAAAGACAAACGGTCCAAAATCCGTGGCTACCTTTGATCGTATTTTTAATTGATCTCTCGGTATATAACGTTGTACTACTTGAAATTACGTCGCCTAATCCGTCAGAGGTGAAGAATGAGTTAAATAAATATCAGTATTTAAGGAATACAATTGTTGGATGTATGATTATTATTCATACATACGTACCGAAAAAGATTGATATAAATGAAACACAAACATGTGCTGTGTAACACTGTATTTACTTGTTGTTAACGGTTCGGAGTCTATGTACAAAGTTGTTAAAATCGGAAACGATACATTGCAGGTAGAAGAGAAAGTTGGGGACGCTTGTTGACAAGGGTTGCGGTTGGTAAGTAAAACCGAAACCCGAACATGGTCCGGCGCCTTGAAAGAACTAACTTTCAACATGACAAAGTATAACAATTGCAAATATGAAATACATAATATGTGTCTACATGACAGGTGCATACATTGACAATGAAATAGAGTACAGAACACATAGAAAAAAAGGGGTAAATTTAGACACTGCACATTTGTTTATGTCGGAAGCACACACAGCTTAGTCACTTGCAGGTTAATCACATCATGCGCGGTTCTCGCTGTCACTACGCGAATGGGGCCATGTAGACCGGGATGAACAGTAATAACGCGTCCCAGTGGTCCATATAAGCGGAGGTGTGTGGTCTTCCTTAACGACCACCAAATCGTCCACCTTATGCTGTTGCGGCTGGCCTTGGTCCATTTTGGGCGATGATGAAGTTGACCCATATGTTCTGCTGTCCACCGTTTCCAAAATTGCTGCTGAGTGCGGCTGAATTGTTGCCACCTGGAGAGCCGGTTCGTTGAGACCGTGGTGACGTTATCCGCTGGAATAACAGTTAGAGGGGTTCCAACGAGGAAGTGACCGGGAATTAAAGGAGTCAGGTCATTTGGATCTTTGGACATGGCGGTTAACGGGTACGAATTCAAACACGTTTCGACTTGTATTTGCAACGTCTGCATTTCTTGCAAATTATATAAAAATATACCAGTAACGCGCTTCAACTGACTTTTCGTAGATTTGACCATTGCTTCCCCGATAGTCCCCATATGTGGCGCGGAAGGCGGAATGAAATGAAAATTGATGTGGTTAGTTGTCAAATCATTCAGCAAATTTGTATTTGAAGCCCGTTTGGCTAAAGTGACACGTGCTTGGTAAAGCACGGGATCATCCCACCACAAAGTTTTTTCGTATCGTCTGTCTTCGAGATGAATTAAAATTTGATGATACATGTTACAAATGTCCGCAGTAAAAGCGACCTCATGCGTCCTAGATCGAATTATTGCATCGGAAATGTCGTTTTGTACTTTTGACCCTGTACTGAGACAAGCATTTATGCTTTTTCCGACTGATGGTTTAACTGACCCATCAAACACTACGCAAATCTTTTCAGTGACCCCGTCAGTTTTGGAAACCGCATGATGAGGCAAAAAATGATGGGGTTTACTTTCGATTTTTTGCTCTGTAAATGAACCTAGTAAAAGCATATGATCTAAATTAATGTCTTCTTTTATAAAATTATGATAGTTGATTTCTAACATAATATTTTTTGCGAACTTAAGTTCCGATGAGTACAATCGTTGAAGCGCGATTTCTTTCGAATCCCTCAAGATTGGGAAACACTTGCTAAATGTTAATCTGACTTGAAATCGTCCGTTGGATAATTGAGTGGCATTGTTAATAAAATAGTTCTCATGTTGTGTTTCAGGAGCTGTGAGCGACTTATCATCGTTTGAATGGGAGGGTTGGTCACTATGTAAAAGTGTATTATGTTTCAATTGGCATAATTTACATGCCATAGATTTACAGCTATCGGACGTATGCGATGGTTTGAGACAATTTTGACATAATTTCAACCTATCTACCTGACACCTTCTTTCCGAAACACTGAGTTTTAAAAAGGTAACACAGTTGAAAATTAAATGAGATTTTTTACAAAAATAACAAGTGGATTGTGTACTATTGCGATTTACTGCCGCTGTAAATGTAGACACCTTTTGTGTTTTAAGTGTATTATAAAAAGGTAGCCATTCAGTATAAATTCCGCTAAACGGTTTAATAACAATCGGGAGCGACTGCACCGATGGTGACGGTGTGCTCGTAGGTGCGTTACCTTGCGGTGCAGGTGAAGATGTGTTAACGCGTTTTTGTTCAATAGCATCTTCGACATCTGCACATAAATCGTAATACGCGTTTTCAAAATAAAGTCTTGTGGTAGCTTGTTCTAAATCGGGGGTGGCGTCATCAAGAGCTTCAATCTGAGAATGGATTTTGTCAAACTGAGCCTTAATACGTACAAAATCGCGCAATCTTACTCTTAGTCGAGAAGCGGATGTACTTAGATTGTTTGTTTCAAACCACAACTTGAAACGCGATATTTCGTCGTGAATGCGATCTCTTTTTAAGAATAAAATTTGTAAATTTCCTGCATCCTCTGGTGTAGGATTTGAGTCCGAAAATGTTTCGGCATTGTCGTCACCTTCCGCGCCTGCCATGTGTGGAGCATCGAAAGTTTGCGAACGCGTCATAACCATTTGAAAAACCGCTTAGTTGAAATACGTAAAACTGGTACAGTTCGGGCAAGGTAAATGGTACTTGCCAATGAAATTTAAATAAAATGACGTGCAATTACGGTCGAATGCGTGCTTGACCGGAAATAGATAAAGAAAAGGAATAGTTGGAACCCACTCACCGCAATAAGGCCCTCTGGCACCTGGGACGGCTAGACTGATTCGCTGCTCTCCTGTCCGGTTGGGAATTTCCAATGGCTGGATCCCGTCTCCCGATGCAGGCGTCGAAAATTGCCAAAACCGTAATAAGATCACCTGGAGCCTGGGTGAATTGACTGGATGGGCTGAATTCGCTGCTCTCCTGCTCGGTAGGGAACTCCGATGGCCGGTAGGTCACGTCTCCCGATACAGGCGTCGAAAATTACCAAAAACGTGATAAGGTCACTTGGAACCTTGGATGAAACGACTGGATGGGCTGGATTCGCTGCTCTCCTGTCCGGTAGGGAACTCCGATGGCCGGTAGATCACGTCTCCCGATACAGGCGTCGAAAAATGGCACCACCGCGTTTTATTGTTGAATTAACAGCACTGGATCACACATGTGGAGAGATTCGACTCGAAGGACCAATGTTGGATGTATGATTGTTATTCATACATACGTACCGAAAAAGATTGATATAAATGAAACACAAACATGTGCTGTGTAACACTGTATTTACTTGTTGTTGACAGTTCGGAGTCTATGTACAAAGTTGTTAAAATCGGAAGCGATACATTGCAGGTAGAAGAGAAAGTTGGGGACGCTTGTTGACAAGGGTTGCGGTTGGTAGGTAAAACCGAAACCCGAACAACAATATTTTAAGCCGTAGTGGAACACGTGGTTAATATGTTGCCAATATAAAAGCTCACAGCTATCCTTTTAATCCTGAAATACATTTAATTTCTTTGAGTGCTCTCCTTCTGATAATTGCCTCACCACTTTTGTCTTTTTTTTTTGTTTTGTTTTAGACGAACCTGAGTTTTGACCATTGATCAAACAAGAAAACAACAAATCCTTTTTTTAAATATTTAGTTAATAAAAAATTCAAAGTCGGATTAAGCACACATCTTCCACCTTTTGATAAAAACATTTCTCAAAATAAAAAATCGCAAAGTTCTACGTTCTACCGTCAATAACTACTTCTAAAATACACTAAAATGTCATCCACCCTACCGTAGGATATCGAACTGTTTTGGAAGCAGGAAAGGAAGGCGCTCTGTTCGCCGCCTTATTGGCAGCTAATCCGGACTCCGTTTTAAACCACGGGAAATTTAATATTCCTACTTCACTGTCATTGAACGTTGCATACAACAGGTGAGTTCCGTCGTACGAACTCCATAAAGCTTTCGGATTCTTCAGAACATCCTCTGAAAAAAGAGCACGAAGGATGAGCTTCATTAACCCGACGAAGCGGCGATTAATTAAAGCAGCGAAAGGAATCACTCATACTTTACCTTGATAGAGCCAATCTGGAATTCCATTATAGATCACTTCAGGACGCCCCGAAAACGTAAGCCTCGTGTCTGTCTCATCCGTTGGTGACTGGCGGAGATATATGTCGTTATTATACACCATTAGGAGAGAATTATTTGTGTTTCCCAACCAGCTAACGTACTGTAACGTTTCGGGCCGTGCCTTCGAGGACATTTCTAATCGAACTGGAATGTGATGACTGCAGAAGAGAAATCAATTTCAGTTCGAAGTCAAGCGAATGGCGAAATGAAACGCTGCTGATCCGCGAAACGGACCAGATTTAACACTGATTAGCATTTTGCTGCTGGTGATAGTTTTCGAAGGAGAATGTTGATCATCAAACTGGGGACCAGCGGATTTTTATGATAATTTTTAGAACAAAAGCTGATCTAAAGAGAATGCTGTGTCTGTACTATAATGAGAGTTTTCAACGCTATGTTATATCTTACAACTATCTATAACTTTTGTTTAATATCTTCTGAATCACTAGATACGGACATATTTGAATCTCCTCTAAAACAATTTTATTGTGTTTTGAAACTTTCAGTGAAATACAATATGCGTTCTTATGGTATTGGGTAAATAAATATAAATTTTATTGGGACTTGAGTAATGGCCCGCATTAAAAATAACGATAGGCTATTAAATCACTAGTTAAGTGGTATTTAAGCGCATGCATTTGAAATAAAATTCACTGAACAGCTTCTTGAAATGACTTTATCAACTTAAGGGTGTGGGGACAAAAAATCTGCACGAATTTCAAACTAGAATAACTGTATTATAAAAGCAGGTATTAATAACGTGATCAACAACATTTATAAAAACAACTTTAAAGAACACAATCTGTACCATATCTACTTGCTTTAAGAATTTTTGTTTTAACACGGCGCATTAAATTTGTAAAAGCCGTTATTTTTGTTTGCCGTATTTTCAGCAGTATACGCTTCTTTAATTCTGCATGTGTCGAGGCTTCCCATCCATTTTCGTACACATTCCTCTTTAGGTTTCTCCAAAAACGTTCAATTGGGCGTAGTTGAGGTACGTTGGGAACATTTTTGTCCTTAGGGATAAAAGGAATGTTTAACTCATTATATGCAGCAACAACGTTAGCTGCGTAATGAGCTGTTGCCATGTCTGGCCAAAATACAAAATTGCCATCCGAATGCTTTTCTCTTATAAAGCGGACAAGTCGAGACCTAATGCACTGTTTTTCATAAATATCTGCATTAACAGAATTTCCAGATGGGCAAATAAACGCAGTAGAATGTCCACGTGAAGAAATGGCCAACCAGACCAACAACTTGGACTGAAATTTTTTATGACGTTTGAATTTCACTTTATCATCTACTTCTTCTCCTTCCTTGCAATAGAAATGTTTATTGTTAGCAGTATCGCTACCATCAAAAGTGAAGTAGGATTCGTCATCGATGATTATTTCAGTTCCATTTGAGGGGGAAAAAGCGGATTCAGAAAGATGCCTTAATTTTCGTTTCTGTTCCAACTTTTGTTTTTCTGAATATTTGGGGGCGGATTTTCGTGTTGCAAGTTTGACATTATTCTCCTTTAATATGTTGCTAACATACTTTTTGTCAATTTTAAATTTCCGTCCAATCTTTCTTAGTGAAACACCAAGTTTACCGTGACTTTGATTGACTAAGGCTTCTCTCTTCTTCTGGGACATTTTTCTTGCTGGTCTTCCGCTTCCTACTTGTCTTTCTACCGAATTCCCATTCTCTACTCTTCTGCAAATACTATAAGTTGTCTTTTTTGATATCCCCATTTGGAAGAAGTGATTAAGGGTGAATGACTTTTTTAAATGCATATGCCTTCTATAAAATTCGGCAATCACAGATCGGCGATCATTTTCATTTAAGTGTTCCATTATTACAAAAAATATTGAAACTTTCAAGAGGAACTAGGCATAACAATTTTTAACAACTGTAAAAAAATGTTATAACGTCAACCGTCATTTTTCTCAAAGCTAACTCGATTTTCGGTGAATTAAAATTTGTGCAGATTTTTTGTCCCCACACCCTTATATCAGAGTATGTCTAGTACTGCATCAGATGTCCGATTATGTACACTGTTCTAGAAAGTATAAGGATGTTAAGAACGTAAAAATAAGGCTGATTGAAGATCTTAAGGTTGCGCTTGAAATTTTAGATTCAGTCAGACAGACGGACGGAAACGGAAAATTTCCGTTTTCTGATTTTACGAGCTATGTAACTCCAAGAACACTTGAAACTTTCGAGTAATCAGTCTGTTTGTACATTCGGAGAGTATCAGAGCAAATTATTTCTGTTGACACACGGAAACGGGCAACCTGCATTATCGTACAAGTTATGAAAGGACGAGGAAACTTGAAATGAAACATTCACAGACTGATACTATAATAGTTCTTTCTTTGACTAACGTGTAGGAAGCAATAAATCGATTCGTGTTTTGTTAGATGTCCTGATGAGTACGAAATTGTAAAATATAAAAAAATATTAATGAAACAAGATTTTTTCGATAAAAGTTTGATTTGTTTGATTTTGAGATAAATTATAAAATTTGTTAGTCGAAGCTTAATTGTGCTTAGGACAAGATTAAATTACGAAAATAAAGGTGAATGCTTAGAATTATGTCAAAGAAAAGTAAATTTCGAAAAAAAAAATGTTTTCCCTTAATTCTAAATAAATTGAAAACACTCTCTAGTACCTTCTAAGATGAGACTGATTTTGGCAAATGACATACCTTGTAAGAAAATACAGGGTGGGTGGGCGGGGCTAGTAATTGATAAGATGAGAGTGATTTTGGCACTTTTGACATGTTCGACCACTTTTCAACTATTTTCGAAAATTTTTTTGTGTTTTTTTTATTCTCTATCTTTTTTCGATGTTCCATATTTTATACATTTTTTTTTCAATTTTTTAAATTTTCAAATTTTAGATTTTTTTCATTTTTATGATCTTGCCCTCTATTTTCTTAGAGGGTATGTTATTTGCCAAAATCAGTCTTATCTTACAAAGTACTTGCCCCGCCCACCCGCCCTCTCTTTTCTTAGAGGATATGTTATTTGCCACAGTCAGTCTTATCTTACCCAATACTAGCTAAGGTAAGACAGATTTTGGCAGATGACATTCTATAAGAAAATAATGGGCGGGAGGGCGGGGCTAGTACTTGCTAAGGTAAGACTGATTTTGGCAAATGACGTCCCTTGTAAGAAAATACAGGGTGGGTGGGCGGGGCTAATAATTGATAAGATAAGACTGATTTTGGCACTTTTGATATGTGCTGCATTTTTTTTTACTTTTTTTAGAGATAAGTAGAAAATTCAGAATCAATACTGAAATTTTCTTAGCATCTTTCATAATTAAAGTACTCTCTACTTTAATTATGAAAGATGGTAACAAGCTTTCACTATTCATCTCCTGCAAAGATTTGATGACGTCATCTCTAATTCTTGTAAAATTAATCTCACTTGAAACTTATTGTAAAACAATTATATTTTTTTACTCAAAATTTGCAAATAATGTCAAAAATTATCTATCGAGTAAAAATTAATAATTAGTAATTATTTAGATTCGTAATGCAATGAATTTTTATTTCCCCATCGAATGCTAAGGAAGTATTGTAATAGGGTCTACCCGGCAAATGACTACTTTCATGGTTTGCCGGCATTTCATGAGCCCCCCTACAGTAAGAGAAAAATTGTTTGTCTTCCATTTCCATGTATTTGTCATCTGTCTGTCGTCTGTCAAATATTCTGGAAGACGTGTAGTTCACGAGAAAACAATTACATGTCACTTTTGGAGACGATCAAGTTTAACAATGTTTGTATTTTTACAGCTTTCCAAATGAATTCCAATTTAGGGGACTTTAGAATTTTGTCAATAATAAAAGTTTACAAAATTTTAATTTCAATATTATTTGGGATAATTAATTTTGCTTTGTTCATAAATTGTACGTCATTTGAACTTGGAACTTTATGAATTTTGGTAAATTTTGTAAACTTTTTAAGGATTTCTGAAGTTCTAGATTTTCGATGACCCAAAAAATTTAAGCTGAGGAAAAATAGTTTAAAATTGAAAAGCTTTGTCAGATTTTTCGCATTTTAACTTTTTTGCTATCGTCGTCTGTCTGTACTGTCTTCGTCTGTCTTGTCGTCTGTCTTTCATCTGTCTGTCTGTTCGTCGTCTGTTCGTGGTGTGTCCGTTGCCTGTTCGTCGTCTGTCCTTCGTCTATCCGCTGTCTGTCTGTCGTCTGGCCGTCTCCATGTCTGTCTGTCTGTCTGTCTGTCTGTCGTCTGTCGTCTGTCTGTATGACTGTTTGTTTGCCGTTTGTCGATTTTTAGTAAACCACCGGACGATGGTTGTCAAATTTTAGACGTATGTTCGGAATATCATATACTTAGATGGTAAAATGCTAACCAAGAGATGTTTAATCATCCCTACCAATAATTTCATGACGTCACCTCAAGATTTTGCAGAGTAAATGCTGTTTAAATTTTATAAATAACCTACTCCTGTACTTGTCGTTTATGTAAGATTTTTGGCATTTTAACTTTTTACTATCGTCGTCTGTCTGTGGTGTCTTTGTCTGTCTGTCGTCTGCCTGTGTCTCTAGCGTCTGTCTGTCTGTCGTCTGTCTGTCGTCTGTCCGTCATCTGTCCGTTATCTGTCCATCTGTCTGTCTGTAGTGTGTCTATCTGTCGCCTCTCTGTCTGTATGTCTGTGATTTACTGATTTTTAGTAAACCACCGGACAATAGTCGTCAAATTTTAGACGTATGTTAGATGGTAAAATACTAACCAAGGTATATTTAATCACCCTCACGTCCCTCACCTAGAATTTATGACTTCACTTCAAAATTTTGCAGAGTACATTCTCTTTAACTTTTATAAATAACTTACTCCAGGATTTGTGGTTTATGAATCTGCCTTGATTTCTTTCTTAACTGTTCAGATTTTGACGGATAAATACAGAATTCGGAATGAAAACGAATCACATTGATTACGAATATTCATCTCCTGCAAAAATTATCCGGTGAAGGACTACTTTTCCAATCCCTACAGTTAGAAAAAAAATGTCTTGCATTTCTATCTGTTTGTGATCTGTCTGTCGTCTGTAAAAAATCTGGATATCGTGTGGTTAACAAGAAAACAATTAGATGCCACTTTTGGACGCGAAGTTTTAATAAAATTTAACAATGTTTGTA